ATGCTAGTAAACAATAGAGTAGTAAAATATACACTGCAAATGGTGTTTAACCACATTGTGTTGGATATGTTCTCCGTATAACTATATAACTGTATATAATCAACATAAAAAGCAGACAGTCGCGGACTACTGTACCATTTCGTTTGGTACCAGCTTGCTGAGGTATTATGATTTGACTCGTGTATTAACCACGTCTCGATTATAAAGTGCACTATTATTATTCCACTTGCCGTTTAGTTTCATATAATGATGTAATTTAAAAACTGAATCCACTTCTCACACCACTAACATCACAGCATTTATAGATAACATCTTGCCATTCTCACAAAGTCCCAATCCGCTTATATTAGAATGGCCGTTGCCATAGAACACTTGGCATATCTAAACATAAATATATTTCATATTATATTACACTATATAATAATAACAACAAGTATGGCCATACGTATATGTGCTTCTTGCAGAAGCGCTTTTCAATTATGTCGGCCAAGATTACCCCTCGAAAATGTGGAATTCAGCCATAGGATTCAAATATATTGTACCCCCTCCGTGTAATAATTACATTCCACAGCATGAAATAAACGAACGTCAATCTTCCGTAATATTTTATATGCGACTGAAACTCACACACACACACACACACACACTGTACGAGACACATTGTGTCTTGTTCGGTGTCTTCCGCCGCTGTGATGACACAAAAATAGAAGAAATCGCTTAAAACGCACAAAAAATCCATATAAACAGAAAAGCATTAATGAGTCAAAGTGACGAAAAAAGAAATTTCTCGATACATTTTTGAAAAATTTCGAGTGTGAATTTACTTTAAGAAAAATTTACTACAAAAAAACAAACGAATATATCATTTTGCATAATTTTAGATGAGTTACCAAAAACTCTAGTACTTTTGTTTTTATTTCAATTGAAATAATATTACAACCTAACAATTCGACCACTAGAATATATACTTTCCGCTGAATACTTTGCTGGCTGTACAATAATTATCTTTGTTACTCGTGTAAATATTTGTCAGCTCGTAACTCGTTTTACGTTATTTATCAGTGTTGGTAAAAAGTCGTTCGAAATAGAGAAACGACACAATCGTAAACAAGTACAGACTGTTATAAAACAGCAGAATCTCAAGATAGTGAGCAGTTATTAATATTTTATTTTGCGATACCGTCGGACGTTGCATTTTATCGTGAATTGGATATTTTCTTTGTGACAAATATTTAATACGTGATTAAAAAACTCGACCGAAAATTAATAACACCATGGTTTACAAAGTGAAAAAAATAAAAAATGCTCTTTCTTTGACTTTGTGTACAATAATAGCAGACTTTACTCAGACGAGTGTACCACCACATTATTATTAAAGTATATTCTGATGGTACAGTATGAATAGACCACGACGTGTCATCAACGTGTACATGCAAACGCGGTTTTATACAGTAGACTTTACTGCCATGGCAGTTGAATAACCTCTTTAATAGGGTCGCTCATTTCCTTCAACCGAGTGCATTAAATGTAATCACGCTCTAATTTCGTGCAGATCTCATCACAGTTGCTCGGTACTAGTGTTGTATTGTGTTTCTTTTTGTAATATTTACTAGTATGCAGGACGAAACTGTGCGGATATCGCGTCGTTAGGACACGTGATATCGTTCCTTGGCATCTCGTATATGAATATTACTGTACACACAGTTATAATTTCAATATCCTACCAAGCGGTTAAATAGTCTAACCGGGAGATCCACTTTTTCGTGACCGGCCTGCGTCGGTCGTGAGCATTAATAGGACAACAAAACAAGAAGAAGAGTCTCATATATATATATACATGCATATCACCCATATTCCACTTGGCGGGTCTATCACATTCGAGCCACGTCAACGCAGCAACACAAATTGCATATCACATCCCTTTCTCGTACAGTAGACGTGAAGCTGAGAGCGGCGAACGAGGGCTTCTCTGCCGGTTCATCTCACCCGCATTATTGACAACCGACCGAACTTGTACGGTCAGCTACACGTGCGCCACTTTCTTAGCTATTTCACGTCATTGCACGCCGGTACCCTGCAAAGAACATGTTATACCAATTCATCCATTACATATCAAGTACTCTTAACCATCCCAGGAAAAGACTCGTAATAAGTTTGTGAATATTTTCTATATTTTCCAAACGGCTTTAAAATTATTTTTACAAATTACTCGGAAGTTCAATGTTGTAGACAACTAATAAATGTACACCACGGCGAATTTCCTTATACTCAGAACGTTTCTGCTCGGTGCTTTCTGTAACAATTACTATTGTGATTTGTTAAGATCACAATCGATGCGTTTGAACAAATACAAACACAATTTTAGATGCAGTTCATATTTGAGTTTCGCCTCAATTACACTCATATCGCGCCAACACACCGAAACGTCGCAGTTGTCTTTCTCAGTATTACAGTAGTATTATATACGACATCCGTTAGTAGACGATGGAAAGCTCACCGGAACTTCGGTCGCACGGGTCGCTGCTACACGATGATCGTTACGATGATCTATGCGCCATTTGCAGATTGTGCTAATCGGGCATAACTGCAAAATACACCTCTTCGCCGAATGCAACTCTGGCGCAATTACCATAAATATTACCATAATTCTTCGACATGAGAAAAAATGGCGTATCGCTAAAAGTTTTTCTATTACTCTCAAGTTTAATAACATTTTTCCATCCTATTATCTTTTCTTTAGTTGCGCTTATATAAAACTATCCACCGAACTTTGTATAAACTTGCATGAATATTATTTACCCTTCCGACACTATTATTTATACTTCGGGCGTTTTGTTTAACATACAACAAGCTTTTTAGTTTAAATTGAAAACAAAACCATTGAATATCTGATTGCGTTTACCATAATGCGTTTGTCAAGCAAAAATTTAGGTCACAGTGAGTGAGATGGACAGTAAAAACAATCCATTTTTGGTATCAATCAAATGATGCGTTTTCGATCATTGGACAATAATTATCATATCATTAAAACCGTCGTGAATAGAATTATTATTCAGATATAATAAAATTATGTTTAAGTTAAAATTATTTGTTCAATTATCAATTTACTGAAAAAATAATTTTTACAAAATATTAAAACATTAACTTTTCAGAAAGTAACATTATAAAAAGAAAAATGATAAGTATTTTATCATTTGGATAAAAATAAAAAGTATTTTTTTTCTTCGAAATTCAGAAATTTATCGAGTGTGAAATAACTATTTCTTTACTTATAAAAATAATAATATTATAACAAATTATTGACTCTATCATATAGTGGACTAATATACTTACGAGTATACATAGTTCTGTATGATTTATTATTTTACGGATATTTTAGGAACTCTTTTAAGAATACTTGCCAGAAAATTGATTGTTTTTGTTTTCGTATAATGTTTTTTTGATAAATATTGGGGCAAGATCCATCTGGTCCAACCAAATAGATAGCTTAAAATAAACCGACAACTTGACGTATAACACATGTTCTCTATAACAATGATACAAAATTCTAGTTTAAACTATAGTTCAAATATACTAAAATGAGTAATAGAACACATCTTATTTAAAAAAAAATTTAATGTGTTAATTCTAAAAATATTGATTACTGGTGTATTATAATTACTATTGTAATATTTCTGTAAATTTTTTTGTTTTAAAAATAAATCAAATCTTTAAAGATTCGAAAGTTCATCCATTTGTCATATTGAAACGGTGAGTTTTTTAACACCTTTAGTTCATTCGACGTATTACCAAAGTTTGCCTCGTGGAGTTGGCAGTCAAATTGTAAACAAACTGTAATTTATTTGCCACTGTGCTGTTATTCAGTTGCCAACAGTACGTACAGTACAAGAAAACGTAAACATATCAACCAAGTGATGAGCAGATTCTCGTTATCTTGTTAGCCAGAGTATGTCGGAGAGGATACTAACTCTTTAACCAATCGTTTTGTAGAACGAATATCATGTATTAGTTAAAATGTGTTAACAACTAATCTCATATATAAATACTTTATCAGTAGTTGTAATTGATATGTTAAAGTAATATTTTAACTTCGCTGTTGATATATTTAATAGAATACCCCATTTAAATCCTTGAAATATTTTTTTTAATTAGTCTCTAGAACTTCAATGAAGAAGAAAATGTATTTATTCAATTTCGTAACACCAGTCTGAATGTTATGATTTATAAGCAATAGATCTTTTAATCGTATTAATACGTCATTCACAGTACAGATTGTTTATGAGCCCAGACAATAATTTATATAACATTATATTATTACATATTCCTGTGGCGTGCGATTGCCCTATTTAGTATTGGTTGACACAAGACACGTGCGTTTTAAATTAACATTTGATAAAGCATTGTTTACTGGACGTGTATTGTATACGTATCCTTATTCTTTGTTTTACGCCCAATGAATTGGGGTGTCGAGGTAAGTAAACAAAACTGATCGATACTACTTTATAAAATCAGATAACCGTGACGGCTATTATAAAGAAACGTGTAAAATCTCCTGTATAGAGTTTTCTTCAATGACTCGAATTATCAGTAAGAGACGTAAAAAATAACTTTTATACTGTATAAACTGCGAAAAATACCACGTGCTAGTTATGAGTGATAGTTTTTACATTGAAATGACTACTATTGAAAATTACTTAAAAGATTTGTCAATAGTATTTAAACCTATTGAAATTTAGTTCGTTATTAATTTTGTTAAAACATTCATTTTGATTTTTTTACAAACAAAATCATGCATTAGAAAAAAATTGTAAAAACAATAAATGTATGACTAAAATAAATTATAATAAATAATTTATTAATTGTATGAAAATAGCAAATAAAAAATATTTAATTAGCATTTATAAGTGAAATTATAATTCATTACAAAAAATTTTTTTTTTTATTAAAAACACATGTTTTATCATTCTATCTCATTTTATAAATCGATTTTTTTGTTTCAGATTCAAATGATAATGTTACAATTGTAATAAATCATCTATACTCATTTAAAGTAAGTATAAGTGATCTGACTAAGTATAATAATTTTTTTTTTACTCAAATATTTAGTAAACTATACTGCATATTTTAATTTTTTTATTTGTTTAATACAAAATAGAAATAAAAATATTAATTTGAATTTTATTTTAAACTTGATGATTTTCAATAGAGTAGGTGAATGAAACTATTACAGTTTTAGAATAAAAAATAACTATATTCTTTTAGAATAAAGTTAAGCTATTTGTTGAATCATTAATCAAATTCCCTTTCAATTGTTTTACATATTAAATAATATAAAATTTTATATCTAAAAATATTTCATATTGAGATTTAAGTCTCCATTTAAAAACAATTTTTGTTTAAAATTTATCCTATTTGACCTTGTGTGATAATCATCGCTGAATTAAATATTTGCTACATTTGCTTTTAAACTGATTATTTTTCCAGTCACATTTATAATAGCTCTTGTTAACATTAAATTAATGAATTCTGTTTAGTCAACTAGCAGTGTTTGCATGATTGATGATGATATCTTATCACACAAATTTAATTTTTACAAACATAATCTACACAGTATTTTATTAACTACGACTAAAAATGTGTTTAAAATACTTTACAGGCTAATATTTAAGGTATAAATTATATGATTTTTGTAAATTTTATAATATTTTCATGTTTCACTAGAATTAAATTATAATGAAATATGAAATTCTCTTAGATTTATCAAATTTAATTTCAAAATATTAAATAATACTATTATTTGCTAATACCCAGATTTGTAATGATATAGACGTCTTGTAATTTTTATTAAATATGGTTTTCAAAAATATAAATGATAAGAGTTATTCTTAATATGGTGCTTTGCAAGTCGTCGACAAAACGTTTTTCTCTGGTAGTATGTATACAACAGGAGGTACTTAAGAATCTACCCGGTCAATTTTAATAGGGAGGGAAAGCGGAAAATGACCACATAGAAATCTATGCGAGGAACAGATTTCCGGTCGATTGACCCAGAGATTTACTGTCATTACTCTCTAACCAAAGGCCAGTTGATTTACAGTACAGCGAATACTGTCTAAAAAACGCTGTTACCAATGAATAAGATGACAAGTAGAATCGTTCCTTGGCCCTACATATAAATATTTATAAAGCTCAAGTGCATGTATGGCACATTCAATTTGGATAAGTACAGTACGCGTACACCTTATGAATTTTTCATTTTTATCATAATAAGACCTTTTCACGTTTTTCAGAGTAAAGACAATGGATTAAATGTTTATAATTTGGATTTAAACACAAACCAAAATATATTATGAATAATTTTTTTATCATTAATATGGAAAACTTTTAATAATGATCCTCTTTGAAATTTTAATAAAAATGCCAAAAATATATGCCTAAAAAATCTTTATATTCTATTTTGAATTTTTCAAACACAACTTATAAAACAGATTTTTCAAATATTAGGATAACAAGAATGGCATTATCATTTTGATATACAGTAAAAATGTTTTCAATAAATTTAAATTTTAGAGCATTTTAATAAAAGCATTTTAGATTATTAACAAACATAAAAGTAGTCTAAAACTATTAAACTGTTAGTTTGTACTATAACGTCGTCTCATTAACAGCAAAAATTCTCTTTTAGCTTCATAATTATACTCAAAAACACTACCCTCTGGTTTCCAATTTTGTTTGCCTGAAATTGGATTTGAAAAGCTTTTCCTTTTTAATAGGTTTGTCAAACTCCAACGGGTCCAATTACAATACCCGCTGTGTTGAAGATGTTTTGATGGGGAAAAAAATTAACTTCCCTTCACGATTTTATCTTCCGACTACGGTAATCGAGTTGTCCGCATATAACTACTACAACATTTCAGAACGAACAGAATGGTATTCACGCTTTTATAATTGATTTACAGAAAATCAACAAGTCCGAAGGGTAGTTTGAGGAAGTGACATTGAAGGGCGAGTTAAACTATCACCGGGCTCGGGTCAGGTCAAGTAAATGCACATACGTAATCCGGAAAAAGTAATATAAGATGAAAATTTCAATTTCCCCAAAGTTCCTGGTCGTGGTTCCGGTAGGCAAATACAGCAGTGCAAAAACAGTGATGAGTTTTAACATACGTTTACCTTTATACATCACACACAATGCAGTGATTTTACACTGAAAATCTTGAGAATCTAATCACGTAGTCGCCGAATATAAGCTGGTCTCAAGCGGGCGTTTCTTCAATTAAAAGTCTCACACATGTCTTGTCTCCTACAGCAGCAAACAAGGAAAATTCATAAAAACGTTTCTTCCGATTGAATTATGTAACTATAAGTCACGCGTACACTCGTCTGAGTGGGTTAGAACGCGTACAGTAAAAAAATAACTATTGATATATGTTGTACGGAGCAAGGGATGATGGGTGCGGAAAGTGTAAGAGAGCTAGTGAATATTTCCAAGCCACGTTCCAATATGATAATTATTCAGCCAGAGCTTGATCGTTGTACCGTGTCGGATAAACGAATGGCAACCGACCGATAAAAGACTATACCGACCTACCGTGCATTGGTCCGGAAACGTTCATTGCCGTCCGAACGAACACACAGGTTTCCGGACTTCAGAGTCTATCCAATTGTAGTACAATACCTATGCAAGCATTGCACACCGCCTGTTATAAACGATAAGGTCCGAAGGTGCACGATATTATATATAATTTAACAAACTGTCTGTTTGGTGGTACATTGAAAAATAAGAAAACAAAATAACTTCTCTTAAAAGCTTATAGTTACTTTAAAAAATAAAATGGATAAGATTCTTTACATAGGAATGAAACTTTTAGCAATAATATCACTTCACTGTAATGGTTTTCATAGTAAGTGAATGATGTGTTGTTAAATTACATATATCCGCTATAGTATATCAATTTAAAATATCTTTCAATATTTTTTAAAGGTCAGCACATAGAATAAAAATATCGTCTTATTTTTTTGGTGATTGAATTGAAGTTTAATACAAAATTTTAGTTGAGCGTGGCGGACAATCATCCAGATAATATAATTTCGGTCAAGCAGCACTACACAGATATCAACGCTATTTTGCTACATATTCAAATAGCATCATCCAGAACGACTGTTACATTAATTCGCTAAGCTTTCATGTAGGTTGATTACCTAAACCTAGCCGGTTATATTTTTTTAGTGGCACGTTGGTGAGTGGCTATCTCAACGCGCACATTGTGCTAAAATTCTAATAAATCATCTCAAACGCGTGTCATTTCCCCTATGATAGCTTAATCCATAATAGGGTTTTTATGCATAATAATATTATTATTATATCATTGAAATCCAGCAAAGCACAAAAATCGATATGATTTAATTAGATGCTGTTCACCGATTAGCTATAGAACCAGTGCATAAAATAACATCAACGGATATCGTTTTAGCATTATTGTGATATGGCTGGTGCTCGGCGACCCCGCTAAATTAATACATTCATTATCATAATTTTCAGATGAACCTTCAATTGTTACCTTCAAAGTGATTAAAAGTAAATCTGCAAAGTTGACGGGCCTGACTCGTTGCTCAACCTGTGCATTTATTATTAGGTGAGCAAAGTTTCAGGTGTGCCAACGCTGCATACGTTCTCTACGTCTTAAGTGGAAAGTTATGGCACTATTAGATCCATTTTTTAACGATCCACATGTCGCCTGAAACTTGCTTTGACCTCGATTTATTTACGGTAAGGTGAGCAAAGTTTCAGGCGTGTAAGTGAGATCGGTTGAAACATCTTGTTTATTTATTAATATTTGGTTTATTAATAAAACAAACTTTGAATGTTTTTTACATGTAAAATATTTGTTTATAACTCTAACAATTTATTTATATAATAAAAATTGATCACTTGTGGCTAATATTATTTAAAACTGAATAGATATATGATATTATTATATTTAATTTTTGATGTATAGTATTTGTATAAAATTATTGAAATTGAAAATTATCACACAGTACAGTTTTAGGCATATTTACATAAGAATATAAATAAATTTTCTATATTTTTCAGGAACTCATTAGAAATGATAAAATAATGATAAATGATATAATTAATAAACTCAATAAACAGTCCATTCAATTAAAGCATAATTTTAAATAATCTGAAATATAGATTGGATCAAAGAGTAAAAATTATTTCAAACTTCAAAAGTTATAATTGAAGCAACAATACCTAAATAGACATTATAATTTAAGAGTTTAAAATTAATTTATACATATTGTAAGTTTACATAATTATTGAAAACATATTAATTTATGATATATTAATATTAATTAATTGTAGTGGATGTTAAAAAATTTAACTATCAAAATATTAGACTAAACGCCTAAAACATCGCGAAACGCAACTCAACATTCTTTCGACAAATGTTCATTATTAATGATTACTTTAAAATAAGCAAGTTATTATGATATAATATGAACAAGATAATATATTTAAGAGTATTTAAAATTGTATTATATTATAGCAAAAATTCTTAGTTAACATTTTCGTGATACCATTGACAAAATAATTAAATCGCAGTCATCGCATCATTAATTCATTAAAACTAATATTGTATTATAAGTATTTGTTTAATAAAATAAACAAAATTTGAGAAAAATCAAGGTTTAACTTATATTACTATCTAGTAAATTCCATTGAATACATATTTTCGTACTTCAATATATAACCTAGTTGGATGAATTGTTGAATTATTAATTTTTATATTATTTTAATATTAAAAAAATGTGAAAATATAATTATTAAAAATTCTGCAATTACTTTGAAGTAATTTCCATTTAAAAAACACTATAAGGAGTAGAAATGTTGTCTCTTCGAATTTTTTTAATCAAAAAGTTTTTATGACACTAAAAAAAGTTGTATTAAATGATATCAAGACGTTGGCATTTTTTTGGACATTCTCTGAGAAATCGAATGTAGATAATACCATTTCTTCGGTTTTTTACTTAACTAGAAAAATAAACTT